AAGGAAGGGTACCTGCAGGTCAGACTCTATTAGAAAAATCCCCAGTGCAATCACAGCATCTCTGCGGCGCTCGTCCAGCTGAAAAATCCCATGGATATCCACGGGACACATGCACAGTAGTTTTTGGATCTAGGGGCGAAAGAAAAGGGAGGATATACAGGTAGTCCTCAACTTATGACCACAACTGAATTGTAGGTTAGATTATATAATCAACAGAAAGATAGATGAATGAGAATCAGTTGAAGATAACTTGGTGTAGAACAATTGTAGAGACATCTGTGATTGTGTATGTGGAAGAACACAAAACAGGCTAAAATAAATTGGGATAGGATCGGCCAGTGAATGCTCAGCTCCATCTAGTCATCCTGAATCTATCCCGAATTAAAGGATTACAGGTTTATAAAAAGGGAATTTATTATATTCATGTATTCTATTTTGCCCTCTTCTGCTCTCTGCAGTTAACTTTAGCAAATGTTTATTGAAGTCTGGCAAAAGTTTATTTTTACTGCATGCCTTTAGCAGTTACAACTTTACAACCTTACAAGAACATAATCAGTCTATGGGGGAAAAGAAACACTGAATACACTTTTACCAAAACAATCAGCAGCCAAAAACTTTAGAAAGAATCTCGCAAAGCTGGCACTTTTAAATTAGAATAGAATCTTTTCAAAGCTGGCAATTTTAAATTAGAATAGAATAGAATAGAAAACTTGATTGTCGCTTTGAATGTACACTAATCAGCATACATTAAAATGAAATTTCATTGCATGCAGCTCTCAAAGGGTCACCACCACCGATATACACTACATAAATATGACAAAAATAAATATAGAATTATGCATATACCCACATGTTTTATATGACACAGAGAAACAACAGTCTAGTTCGGGTTAGATGTACATGTGCATTATGTGGATTTCAAATAGCAGAATTGCTGGTTGGGGAATTCTGGGAGCTGAAGTCCACACATCTTAAACCTGTCAAGTTTGAAAAAAAACCCTACTCTAAAGTAAAAAACAGTGATCCTATGCTTAATTACTTAAAAAATTCCACCATAATCTAAGAGGCTTACTCCCAAACAGCACATTCAACGCAGGCCAACTCAGACATATAAATCCGATTAATGTGAGCTACACCTACCTTGGGTAACAAGAAAAACTCACCAGAATGCAAACAAGCAGTTACTGACTGTACTGTATTGACTGACAGCAAAAAGGGATGTCTACCAAATTAAAAACAAAAACTTGGAAGCAACCAAACCGCTTGAGAACAACCCTTATATATGCTGCAGAGACCAAAAGATATTACAACAGTCCCCTTTAAAAATAATAATAATAATAAGCAATGTTACTTTTAAGC